TCGGGAGCTCGCGCAAGCTGCTCAACTGGTTTGCGCGACTGCACCAAGAAATTAAAGGGGGGCAAAACGTGCACGGAGATCAAGGTGAAACACTCGAAACACTCAGCTCAGAATTCATTATGTTAGCCAGCTAATTGCCTAGAGCTTATATATCTATATATATATATATATATATAGAACTGACTGCGGCGCATATCAATTTCAAATGCAAATCACAAATGATCATTAAATCTCAATAGTTATTTAGCTAAGCTTTAGTTATTGGACTAACGAGACAAAAGCTTACAGCTAGGCTAAGCTTAACAGACTGTCTAATGCCTGCCAAATTGATGTTCATTGATGTGATCTGCCTATATTATAGTGGATTATACCAAAATATTTATATTGAATGGGGTATTCTTCTTGGAGCCTAAAGAACGAATGAAAACATTAAATTAGAGGCATCTCTAAAGCTATACTCCTCATAATATACTCACCAACCAATATTCCCGATTCGTTTCATTGAATGTCTACAAAAATATTGATTGATTGATTAACTGTGCTACTGATCGACACACATATACAAAAATCTCACACATACATACATACATATACGTAAAATCTCAGCCAAGTGAGAGCCAGTGCTAAAACGCAAAACAAAAGTATAATTAATAATAATAATTATTCATTGAGCTTGAACTTTCGCACATATTGAAGCGCTCACGTTTAATGAACGTTAATACATAATACATATAAACAACAAACTGAGAATCGAGTAGAAAGACCATCATTATCTTCTTGCGTAATGCAAGCTTAACGGTTACCAGCTTAGAGGTCACTCACAGATACAAAAACCAAAAACACAAACTTCTTGCCAAGAACACGGCACAATGAAACCGCAAAATTTATGAAACACTCTGAAAACGCAGAGGTCTTAACCCTCATGCTTTCCGCAGAGTCGAGTCTTGTTTCCCAGCTGCGATTATTCATGCTCAAGAGAAGCCGAAGAGCTGCGTTGCAATTTCCAATTTGCTGGAGGTTAAGAAAGCGAAAACCAAAAAGACATTAACAAAATAGATAAGTAAAATTTCCAACTGGCTAAGAGGAAATGCTCCAACTTACCAATTCTCTCAGCAAATTGAAGGCATTTCCTGAAGATTTTCTTGGAGCTGCCAAAAAAACTGAAATAAAAAACTGGTTTTGTTTTCTCTCAGTTGGTTCTCTAATGCTCACGCCGGAACTTCATTAAAACCTAATAATGTTTATTTAGTAACACCTTAGCAGCTAATTTGTTTAGTCCCCCGAAGCATGTGCACTTAAGGCGATAAATGCGCTTTGCGCCTGTTCCAATCGAAAAGCCAGTTTAAAGCTTTATGATTGTTATGCGTATGCTGTCACAGATATACATAGGCATATATAAACATATGTACATATGTACATAGGTAGATACATGCTGCATGACTCACGGTCACGCTTAAGAAAGGTAAAACGAGGCATACGAAGAGAAAATACCCAAAATGACGAAGTGCACATTCATGAATTTTGAAATGGGCCGCCAGAGAATCAGAGAACCAGAAAAAAAAACAATACAGACAAAAAACAAAAAACTGTTGGCTTAACTGTGAGCGTGACTGGATTCCGAAAATTGTTTCGTATTACTGTTGTTGTTGTCTGTTGACTGTTATGTGATCAGTGACTCTTCGGCTTCAATGATTCGCGCCACAGTGCTGAAAAGTGCTAAAAAGTGCTTTGTGTGACATATTTAAAGTTGAATTTTCGCTTGCATAGATTAGCAGGCTTTCTTTTGGTCGTTGACAAATGTTTTAGATATCACTTCTCACTTGGCGTTTATTCATTGGCAGTCAGTTATTTGGTTAACCACACAATTGCCAGTTTCTCATCTGTACATTAATAACTAAAAACACGAAAGAGCTTTTAACCATTTGAGAGTTTTTGTTTTGTTTAACTCGACTGTTTCTCTTCCGGCTCTGTGGTCCAGTTCCTAGGACGTTCCGCCATAAGAGTGTAATCGTTCTTGGCAATGTTTACGCCACCGTATTGATGTGTGGGCGAGTCGGGGAAGAATTCCCAGCCCTGTTCAATCGACATCTTCTTGATCACGCCGGCAATGCCTAGAAGTAAAATAAAATGTTACGTTAAAAATAGTTCAATATAAGTATTGCAACGTTGCATATAACACAATATATAAAACAAAGTAAGAATATATATCGCATTTCATCTAATATACATTATATTCAAATTACGTAATACTATATCCAGATGACGTAAAGGTAAATCTAAATTACGTAAGATCATACTCCATTGACGCAATGTCATATCTAAATAACGTAACGTTAAATCCAAATATCGTAACGTCATATCTGAACAACGAACCGTTATATCGAAATACAGAATGTTATATTCATATATATTCAGATATCGTAACGTTATATCTAAATAACGTAACGCCATATCTGAATACCGTAACGTTATATCCAAATAACGTAATGTTAAATCCAAATATCTTAAGGCCATATCAGAATAAGGTTATATCAAAATACATTAATGTTATATTCAAATAACGTAACGGTATTTCCGAATAACGTAACGCCATATATAATAACGTAACGCCATATCCGAATAACGTAACGCTATATCTGAATTACGTAACGCCATATCCGAATAACGTAACGCCATGCCTAAATAACGTAACGGCATATCTGTATTACGTAACGCCATATTTGAATTACGTAACGCCATATTCGAATAACGTAACGCCATATCTGAATTACGTAACGCCATATCTGCATTACGTAACGCCATATCCAAACATGGTAATATTATATGCAGATAGCGTTACTTTATATTAAGATACCGTAACGTGAATGTGAATTACGTAACGCCATATCCGAATAACGTAACGCCATATCTGAATAACGTAACGCCATACCTCAATAACGTAACGTCATATCTGTATTACGTAACGCCATATCCGAATAACGTAACGCCATATCTGAATTACGTAACGCCATATCTGAATTACGTAACGGCATATCTGTATTACGTAACTCCATATTTGAATTACGTAACGTCATATTCGAATAACGTAACGCCATATCCGAATTACGTAACGCCATATTTGAATAACGTAACGCCATATCTGAATTGCGTAACGCCATATCCGAATAACGTAACGTCATATCCGAATAACGTAACGCTATATCCAAACACGGTAATATTATATGCAGATAGCGTTACTTTATATTAAGATACCGTAACGTGAATTTGAATTACGTAACGCCATATCCGAATAACGTAACGCCATATCTGAATAACGTAACGCCATACCTCAATAACGTAACGCCATATCTAAATTACGTAACGCCATATCCGAATAACGTAACGCCTTATATGAATAACGTAACGGTTTATCCAACCAACGTATCCTTATATTCGATAGTGTAACGTTATATTAAGATTATGTAACTCCATATCTGAATAACATAACCTTATATCCAAATAACGTAACATATTCGGATAACGTAACGGTATATTCTAATAACGTAACGTAAAATTTCTTATAACGTTAAGTTTATTCAAATATTACGTTACGTTCAACGTCGCACATTTAACATCGTATACTTCTTACCGAGAAACAGGCCAGTCACAAGGCCAGCCACATGGTTATGTTTCCATGCACCAAAGACACCACCAGCAGCAAAGCCTCCGATCAGATAATTTAGTCTAGAAATAATGATGGTCAATTAATAAACATTCCGATGCATGGCTCCTTAACTCACTTATCATCCTTTCCGCGAATATTTGTGGCAGCAAGCGTAGTTACCGTAAATGCTGTAGCCATGCCCATCAGTGGACCCGTGTTGTAGGCGAAGCGTCCCAGTGTGGGTATGTAGCCTTGCGGCTTGGTGACAGTTAACACGTCGAATGTAGACCACGCCAAACCGGCGGCAATGGCGTATTTGTTTGTGGCCACAATCTTGCCAAAGGCATCTTCGCCATCGGGATAGTCGTAGTATTTCGAACGTAAGATCGACATAGTTGCCTAGATGCAAAATAAATGCATGTAAATAATAATCACATATGTATGAATGCCAATGTATGAATGTTGTCCACGGCTCTAGCATTAGCTAAGAGTTTTTATACTGAGGCTCAGACATCGCGATATAGCTTAGATATTTCTCTACAGCTTTTTGATTTTGCTGGACTATTCCTTAAACGATTTATGCTTTAAAGTATCCATTAATTAACTAACCTGCCGAATTTACGTAATTATTTCTAAGCGAAGAATTATTTGACAAAACAGCTGTAGATCAGTGTGTACTTATTAAAAAAAGGTTAAATAGGAAAAATACCAAAAAATACAAATGGTAACAATAATAATCCCCGAAGATAAAAAAATGTTGATGATGCGTTTATTTGTCTTTTTCGTTTGAAAAATTATTTAATTTTTCCCTTTATTTTTAGACATTAAAGAAATAGCACACCTTTTCTTACAGTGCCAAAACGAGCTTAACATTGATTGGAAAGGAGTCTGATAAATCGATAAATTTGTAGATAAATAAACATGTATTCGATAGTCTAAAGAAAACTTGACGATAGTCTACGAATAATTGCAGCTGTTATCTACATATACTTTTCAAATATTTGAAAAGGTACCGAAATAAGTTTAATTTGTTTGCCAACACAAAGTTAACTCTCAGTAATAGCTGTAATATTATCAATAGCCGCAGCTTATTTTCTTAATCAGTACAGATCTAAGGACTTATACCCAAATATCCTGCGGCGACGTTAGCCGGCTATAAATATAACTGATATGTTAAAATTACATTTTAGATATGTTTACTAACATAAGCTCCTCCTGTTAACAGCAGCTAGAATTTATATCTGAATTTATATTTAATGTACATTATGCAAGTTGTCTGTCTCTAGACAATACTAACAACGGAAATGCTAGTTTAAATGAATTAAGAAGACGAAGACGAGACAAGACAATAAACAGATGAGCTCATTACAATTGAAATGCACTTTAACAGCTTAAACAATTTTATTAATTACAATTTATGACATGAATTTAGCTACATATAATAATTTAGGCTATGGCAACGCTTTGGGTCTTTTACATAGTTGTATGTACGTGCCAGCGCGAGCTTCGTTATATTTTGTGCAATGATCAAATAAATTAAAAATGAGCTACAAACTAAACAATTAGCACGTACAAAACAAATTGCAATTTGATGAGACTTGTTTGTTATTTTTGGGTGCACAATGGGATGGCACTTCACTTGTTTGCCCTCTCGATTGTTTAGCTATTTGGACTTCTTGGACTCCACTGGCGGCTGCTTTTCGACAGACTGCTTGTAGAGCTGATTTAATCCAAAGCAGGCTCTCACATTATCGCTGGAGAAGAAAAACTTTTGCAATTTGCCTTTGGCATCGCCGCAAGGACGACGATCCACCTCCTTGCCCTGCTGGAAGAGTATCAGGGTGGGCAACTGCTTCGAGAAGCTGCTGTCCGAGATGTGATACTTGGCCGCTACGTCCGGGAAGCGTCCAATATCGATTTTGCCAAATTTCAATAAATTCGCATTATACTCCGCCGACAGTTCAGCAAAGATCGGTGCGAAATTCACGCAGCTCGGATTCCAAACGGTGTAGAAGCATATTAGCCAGCTAACCTTCTTATCCCTTACCAGCTCCTCCTCGAAGGTTTTGGCATTACGGAAGTAGGTTATATGCTCTGGGCCACTATACGATGGCTCAGGCAGCAGCATTCCAACCAGCACGCATATCAGCAGAAAGCCCAAGCCATAGCGAAAATCTGCATAGGCCCATAAAATCAAATTCGCGACTTTTGTGTATAGAAACGACGAGGTCAAATAGTTGATCATGGTGACACTGCCCGTTTTTCGTGAGCGTATCATCACAACAATCAGCAGAAAGAAGAGTATTTCCACTTCACGGCTATCCATGTCGCAGACGTCCTCCTCCTCCTGGTTCGCATGCTGGAAAAGGCGCGTGCAAATTACTTTCGTCTTCTTTGACACCAGATACGATACGGCCAGCAGTATATTAACCCAGTAGTAAGGTTTTGCTAGCACCTTTAGCTCCTTTTTCCATGACATCGTTTAGTAATGTGTCGATTTTCTATCTGGGTCACCTTTTTAATTAACAACTTCCCGTATTTTATTTTTTTGTTAGCTAATTTTGGCGACGAACAACCTGAACGATATTCAGCTACTCTATTAGTACTGCTGTGCGCATAACAGAGTTCTGCTAAGTCATAAAGTGGCAGCTGCTGCTGCTCAAAAAGCACTGTTATAAAATTGCGGGAGCCAAACAGCTGTCATCAATCAGTGCTGTAAGTGTACTCAAAAACCGAACACGTTACATTTAAAAAGAAATTCAAATATAAATTTTAGCACTCTTCTAAAAAGAGTTAGTCCTATGTGTTTCTATTTTGTTATTTTATTTTACAGACAAAAGGAAAATGTACCGCAGCTGTTGCTAAAGTAACCGAATTCTGTTTAGTTGATAGCTTAATATTGCTATAATTACAGCCGAAAACGAAACTCAAATTGAATACAAACTACTTTGAATGAAATTTCAAGGGCCAGGTTAATTAATATATTTTTTTTGTTTACATGTATTTCAAACAAATAATCAATCTGATATAATGTATTTTGATTGTAGAGCAATTATAATGTCTTTTGATAGCCTTGCTCAATACAAGACCCGCCTAATCTATCTTTCAGAATGTGATGTTCGTATATTTCTATATACATATACATATATAGGTTGTACTCTAATCAGGGTTAATAATCATTTTACGTGACTGCGGACGCTCGTGGCTAGACAAGCAATTAAGTGTCACAATTTTGGGCAACCTCCTTTATTTTTTTATTTTTGTTTATTCATTTTTTGCAAAAAAACAAAAAAAAAAAAAAACTTTGCTGATTGCAGGCGGGAAATGATGCATGCATTTAGCTATAGTCAGAGAATCGCGCGTCACAGACTTGCACATCTGACTTAAGTGTATTTTTACAATTATCATTTAAAATGCTCTCAATAAAATATTGCAAATATAGCACTTACAAAGCTTTACCATGAGCCTGGCAACAGCGGAACGAACAATGAAATCAACTTTTAACATAAATTGATAATTGCAATAATGAAAATGGTGCCACAAGGAAATTTAAGCAATAGTAATTAAACAGAATTTAAATGGGAATCGTAATAAAGAGCAGTATAATTTTGTTTTTTTATTTACTTTACATACTTTTTTTTACATTATAAACAATCACACAGCTGGTAAACAACTCACTCAATAAACAAAACAAAAAAGTCAATCTATATTAGTAAGGTCAGTAAATGCATCAGCAGGCATATATGTACATATGTATATAGGTATTTACATATGTCTATATGTCTGATCCGATTTTGTACTTGTGTACAGATAGACACGAACCGGTTAAAATCGGTTCGGCTGTAGATTTCACATGGACCGACTTAAGATAGAGCTGTCCATGGGCTACGTTCATGGCCAAGCGGGACTATGGGCTAAGAAATTCATTAAAAATAATAAAGAAAAACTTCTTTGCTGGACAACATCTGACAATAGTCTTATCACATCAGATTCGAAGATAACTATTTGTTAAGCCAACACTATTTTTTAAGGTTGTCAGATATATTATTATTTGATTCTCTCAAGCTACAAACTGCGCAGTTTGGCTGAGCGAGTGATTAGAAATGAATTTAAAATTTGATTCGCTTATCAAGCATGTGAACAAAAGTCGAAATGTCTAGTTCAAATATATGTGTGCATCTATGTATATACTTATTTGGAAAATCTGCCTCCAATAAAAAGAAAAATCCAGCAAGAGACCGCATGAGGCATACACACTCTCTCCTATAAACAAAATGGCGTCGATAGCTGATCTCACTCTGGGTCCCGCTCCCTTTTATTCTCTCTCTTTCTCTCGCTCCATCTCTCTCTCTTATCAATCTCCAGCTGCATGTTTGTGAGCTCTATAAGTTTCAGCTGTAGCTTAGCCTCCGATTCAGTTCAGTCTTGAACCTACTTTGTGTTGCGTCTACAATTACAACAAGCTCTTACGCTACAGAGCATCCAAATCTATAAAAACGTGCATTTTTTAAATGCCGCGCAAAGAATTGTGCAAACCAAACTTTTGAAAACCGAAATCAAATCAAATATTTTGGCTAAGCCAAAGGTGTTTAAAGAAAAAAACTGTGCGAACAAAAAATTTTTAACAGTCACCAAGGTTAAACTTTGAATGGTGCCAGTGTTAGTTAACGACTCGAAAATTGCTAAATACACTTCCAAAATCTATACTAAATCGAACAATCGCAGCAAGCTGCAACTCACACAGCTACTTTTCATATTCAACAATTTCAATTTAAAATGTAAGTTCTCTTCGGTTTACCCTTATTTTATAAATTTTTTTTTTAAATTGTGTTTTATTTGTTTTTAGTTGTCGAAATGGCTTTGCCGCAGGGAGCCTTCGCGGCATGTAAATTACGTGAGCAGTTCCAGGAGAAAGACATGATTGTCTCGCGCCTAAGAGCTGCGAACATTTCTGATAAAATTGACAATAATGCACGTAAGTGGAGGAGAGTGAGAGTGTTGGCGAGAGAGAGAGTGATTCGAGTTATATTATTTTTTTGTTTGTAGAACGTGAATACTCGCCGGCCAAGTACAATGATAAGCTAATGAATTCCATTTGGGGCCTCTACAATCGCTATTCGCCACACAATGTCAAGAAGAACGAGTACGCCCCGCCTAAATTCTAATTAAATCTGGCGGCGCAACAGCTGTAAGTAATCAAGAGCAATGCTATCATGCCTGACCGACTGCATAATACTCGTTCACAGCGCAATGTAGTATAAATATTACTTCATTTTCGATTCGTATTGCCTTCATGGATGAATTTTATAGTTCATAGATCTGTGTATTGATAGGCTTATCAATATTTCATTTGGTTTTAGTCTGTGTACACGTAGGCCCGCGCCTTCAGTGAACGTCTAGGCATAATCTGAACATTTTCTAGGACAGCAGTTGTTATAGAATAAATACAGATACATATCAAAAATTATTCATATATTCCTAAAAACTTATTGCAAAGTATTTTAGTCAAAGATGAATTCCAAATTCATGCAATCCATTAAAGTAATCCAGAGTCCCTTCAGCTTATCTCAGTATATTCTCATAGATATTTACATACTTCTCATTATATCTTTTAAATTTCACATATTTTATATACAATCCTATCTCACAGGCTCCCCTTTCTTCTCTTCATCTCTTTCTAGCACCCATTGAGCTGTTGCGCCTCCATTGTAGCCTCTGCCTGAAGACGTTTATTTCTTTTTTTTTTGGGCTGTTGGCTAATGTTGCTTGCTGCACAGGCACACGCACACATATATACGCACACACTAACACTTAGTATATAATCAATATATTATCTCCACATATATACTCAATTATACAACAACAAAAACATTGAAAATTATAAATAACAAATTTATTCATTGGCATCTATGTAAAATTCAATAAATACTCGTGATAAATATAAATATATATATATATATATATATGCACATATGTATATGAAGCAAAAAACATGTAAAAGCTGCTTTTCATTTTAGCCATATATGAGACACAAGAACACGAGATCAATTCAAATAGCAGGACTCATAGGTCGGCACCATGTACTTGATATTGATGAACGCATCCTCGCCGCCGTGCAGCTCAAGCACCTGCAGTGTCTCGTCTATCAAATCGCCCACATTCAAATTGTTCTTTTGCGCATAGTCGATCTCGTCGCCGCAGTTTACTAAAAATCAAGAGAAAAATTATTTACAGTTTAGATATTTATTTTATATAACTGCATACTTTTCTCTTCTAAATCCAACTTAAAGAATCATCCGATAGATTTTTATATAAACTTTCTTATATGAATACCAAATCCCATACATAAATATATTTTTAATATATTAAATATATATTTTAATTATTTCTTATATTGTATACCAACCCTAAAGCCCAAAACCTATATCTGATGTAAAACTTGTGTATACCATAAAATATACACTATAGTCATTAACCTTTTTATTATATATACTCTGTTCTACTATACTATATATTACGTATACGCATAATACTGTAACAGTCATAATCCTCATTTCATTTGCATTTACCTTTAAGCGAAACAAATTCGGATTAGTCTAGAAAAAACTCCACGTATCCTAACTTTATGATAATCCCGATAATTACTTAAACCACCCTCGTTGCATTCCTGCATACAATTCGCACTTACAATTCTTCACTTTGAACGCATTGAACATGGGCAACAGTTGTCTGTAGAACGGCACCAGGGCGGGACCCACCATATCGGAGGACCTGACCAGCTGTTGTATGATTTTCAATGTCGTGCACATCACCTCCACGTTGCGGGTGCTCAGTGCGTCTGCAAAAGGTAAACGAAACAAAAAGAAAACCGAAAAACAACAAGAAAAAGTTACAGGTGCAAATTAAAGCGAAAGCAATTTACGTGCCAGGACAAATAATTGTTTGTCTAGGCAGCTCTTCGATTACGGCTCTCCATTGTATTTTTGGGTTTTTGCCGGCTGCCCCCATCGCCGGCAGGTACTCACTCTTTAACGGTAAAATTAATTGCGGTACCACTGGATGGATTTTATCGCCGCCCGCTTGAAGCAAATCGCTAACGCCCTGGCGAGCATAGGTCTTATATGGATGCTTCGGTTCGGCCAGTCCATCGAAGAACAGCGGCAAATAGAGACTGTAGTCCAGCTTGTCAATGTCCACCTGGAAGCGAAATACAGGTGAGCTGGTGACAGTTAGGCCAAGTTTTCTTGCGCCTTGTTTTACAGGTGTAAATGTGCACGCGATGCTCGTTAAGTTTTCTTTTTCGGATTTCTATTAAAATGTCTTTCATTTGGTGGGAAAGTTAAATGGGTTAAATATAAAGAGAGGGAGATAGGGATGGACTGCGTGATTGAAAACGGTTCCAGCAACTCATAAAACTTTTCGTTTGCTTTGTGTTTCTTTATTTACATTTTAATTTTCGAAGTTTTCGTATAACTTGCATAAATCATAAATTATATATGAATACTCCTTTTTATACATATATGATATGCATATAACAGATATATTGTGTGTATAGTTTGTAGCCGAAAACATTCTCGAATCACTTTGAAAAATCCACAATGCAAAATCTGTTTATATAAAAAATATATATGTATATATAATATTCAGATTTGCCTAAGCTTTATGCTGTTTATATACAGGTATTATTTATAGAATGTGATCAAATAGCTTGTCCTTATTGTACTTATATATATTTAAGGGGAAGATATGCATAATGAATATTTGAATATTTTCTCTTTATATGACCTACATATGTACATATATATATATATTCATATATATATATATATATATTTATATATATAGTAATATATTCTCAATTACCTTGCGAAAATATTAAAACGGAAAACTTTCCAGTACAATCTTTCTACTTTCACTTACCTACTTCTATCATCAGCTAAGCCCCACTTGAAGCTCCTTCGATTGACCTTCAACCTTGATATGCACATACGTATATATAGCTTATATATGATGTATAACTCTGTCACTTGCATATCGCTCATATGTAAATGAACTGTCAGAAATGCCGCAGCGCTAAATAAACAAACGCACCCACTTAAGCATCATACCAAACATTTACACATGACATTGAAAAGGCCAAGCCAGACCCGAGTAGGCATACTCATGTTCCCTGTTCTATATATTATGTTCTGGTATTCTCTCTTTTTGAGTGACTGACTGGCTGACACCTGGACGTCACAGCTAGTATGGTAAACGTGAATGCGAAACGGAGTCACTCCGTTTGTTTGTTCCGGAAATAGACAAATTCTATATAAATATATACATAGGCAATAACCTACATATATGTATATAGCCATATGGGCGTGGGAGTTCTTCTAGTTTTTTTCTTTGTGCCAACACTTCAAATATAATTGGACACGCAGGTGTGCAGTCTTTAGTAGGCGAAATTGGGTCTAACACCTATTGGCAATTAGTTGGCATTGATTTGTTTGGCAGGTAATTTACGAATCAAAGTTCAGCAAATACCGCGAAAACATTTGGAAAGTTTCCCTTTGAAATCGATTTAAAGTACAAATTTAGATTTACGCGGTTTTTGTTGTTTTTTGGAATTCTCAAATTCTTTAGAAAACGAAAGTTAATAGAGAGGTCTCTCCATTATCAACTGAAATTTTACATTTGCTCATAAGAGAAAGAGAACTATTTAATAAAATTTGCTAAAATTGAAGAAAATATGAACTGAGTCTGTTTCTTTTTTTTTTTTTTTTTGTAATTTAACTAATTTCATAAGATTATGGCTTATCTATAAAATATATGCGAATCCTCTGATTTAATACTTAATATACATATTTTGATACTAATAAAAATGAATATACATTAAGCTCCGTCTACTCACCGTCCAGCCAATCTTATCGCCTCCGCACAGATATTCCATTTTAATGGGCAAGTCTCCGCGATCAAAATACATGCGAAACAATGTGCCACGCCCCGGATTCTTGCTAGCCGTGCAGGCGTTAAGGCTAGCATTTAAATTGCATGACGAAATTGATTTCTGCTGTTTCTTCAGACCTAAAAGTAAATACAAATAATCAAATAATAATCTGACATTTTCTGGGGTTCCGGAAAACGTTTGGGAATACGAACATTTGGGATTCGGTGGACGACCGCGTGCGCTTGCAGTGACGGGTGGCTCGTGTATGGGACCGTTAATGACTACCGTGTTTTTCTGCTGCGATTGTATGGAAAATGGCGGCACATAACGGGGTCGGGTACCCTGAATGCCGCTAAATGACCGTAATTGTGGTGGATTTGCGGATTTGGAACGTTGTTTCAGCGATATGGAGTTTGTATGTAAATCGTACGAGGGCCGCGCTCCATAGGCGGTGGTTATGCGTGTATTAGACATTTCTTTGTTGCGTTAGACGACGAACTGTATTCAGCTAGCGTAAACAACAAACTGACGACCCGAGCAAAAAGGTTCAGGAATTTTCTCAATTTCTGTGTGTATTGGTATCCTCGAGCGTTACTATGGAGCGCGTTGCTAGGACAGCCAAAAGCACAGTGACTGACTGATAAGACACATTGTTTAGAAATTGCATATAATGGTTTATATGCTCTTGCTGTTGCCAGTAAACAAACGCTTTGGTCAATTTTTAAATTTAAAACAGGCGCCATGCTGCATTCTTCCAGTCTGGCAACGTGGAACAGCAGAAAATATTGTAGAATAAACTAAGTTAATATATTGCCTTTGTGTATATAAATACAGTTATCACGCGCCACTTATGCAGAGAATCGATAACGATAATTGATATTGCATTAAAACGTACAGAGAAATACCACGAACCAGTGGAAATACTAATTACACAATATTCAAATTTTCTATACCTTTTTCAGTCGTAAAGCTAACTACACCAATAGATTACATCTATGCCAATTAATGAATATATTGCCAATCGTTACCATTAGTACTTACATATTGTTTATATAAAACCACTGTCCAAAAAACAGTGATAAAACAAAGAAAAAAAAGTATTTTTAAAAGGATAGTTTAATACCAAAAGCGTATATTCCATGACTAGTCACTAAAAAATACCAGTGACCAGCAACTTTGCTGCACCAGCTCTACTGGTGAACGAATAAAGAACAAATGTGGGTGCAAAAAAAAACCTTGCATTAAATTGGCAATTATCGTGGCGTAGATATTGTGTTGTTTTAAAACCAATATACCGCAAATACGTACGAATTGAAGTAAAAAGCAGAGCCACTGGCACTAGCACAGCTAACGCATATGCAGACGTAGAACAACGACAACAACAGCCAGCAACATGTCTTCCAATACAAATGGCAATGGTGAATTAAAGAAATTGTCAGAGGAATCTCTGCTGCAGCCGCCAGAGAAAGTGTTTGACATCATGTACAAACTGGGCGAGGGCAGCTACGGTTCGGTATATAAAGCGCTGCACAAGGAGAGTAGCTCAATAGTGGCCATCAAATTGGTGCCGGTTGAGTCTGATCTGCACGAGATAATCAAGGAGATCTCGATTATGCAACAGTGTGATTCACCCTATGTGGTACGCTACTATGGCTCCTATTTCAAGCAATATGATCTGTGGATCTGTATGGAATATTGTGGCGCCGGCAGCGTCTCGGATATTATGCGTTTGCGCAAGAAAACTCTGACGGAGGAGGAAATTGCGACTATATTATCGGATACACTAAAGGGCCTGGTTTATTTGCATCTACGTCGCAAAATCCATCGGGACATCAAGGCAGCTAATATATTGCTAAATACCGAGGGCTATGCCAAACTGGCGGACTTTGGTGTCGCTGGTCAACTAACGGATACGATGGCCAAAAGAAATACAGTTATTGGAACGCCCTTCTGGATGGCTCCGGAAGTGATTGAGGAGATCGGCTATGATTGTGTGGCGGACATTTGGTCGCTGGGTATCACAGCGCTGGAAATGGCTGAGGGCAAGCCTCCATATGGAGAAATACATCCGATGCGTGCTATATTTATGATACCACAGAAACCGCCACCGTCGTTCCGGGAGCCTGATCGTTGGAGCACAGAGTTCATTGATTTCGTTAGCAAGTGCCTGGTCAAGAATCCGGATGAGCGAGCAACGGCCACTGAACTGCTAGAGCATGAGTTCATACGCAATGCCAAGCATCGCAGCATACTGAAGCCCATGCTGGAGGAGACGTGCGCCATTAGAGAGCAACAGCGCGCCCATCGCGCAGCTGGCGGTGCCATGAGCCAGGCCAAGAGTTTGGCCACCCAAGAGGGTGGCCTAATGCTGCACGAGGAGGAGAACGAATACAATTCGGGCACAGTGAAGACATTTGTAGATCCCGGCACTTTGGTGCCTGAGAAATTCAATGAATACCAGGAGAACTCTGCCTCGGATGCGACCATGATAGCACATCGCGAAGATGTGGACGATGCCACACTGGGTCCCGGCGGCATAAAGGCGGGCATGGCCAAGGCCGCAGCCAAGACGGCAGCGACAGCAGCCGGTGGTGCTGGTGGCACTGGTGGCAGTGCCGATGTGGCCACAGTGGACAGCGGCACCATGGTCGAACTGGAGTCCAATTTGGGTAAGTGAGAAAGGAAATGGATAGCTACTTAAATAGTAGTCAACTAATCTTTGTAACATCTTGTCTCCTTCCGGCAGGCACAATGGTCATTAATTCGGATTCGGATGACTCGAGCACGGCCAAGCGTAATGATGATCAGAAGCCGCGCTATCGCTATCGTCCACAGTTCCTCGATCACTTTGAGCGGAAGAATGCGGGTCCCGATGAGAAAGCAACGACGGAATACTCGCCCGCTGCCGTGGAGCAACAGCTGCAGCAGCAGCAACAGCAGCAGCATCAGCAGCAACAACAGCAGCAGCCACAGGAGCACTTGGCTAGTGGTGCGCATGATGCCAACAATTGGGAGCACAACATGGAAATGCAATTCCAGCAAATCTCAGCAATCAATCAATATGGCCTGCAACAGCATCAGCAGCAACAGCAACAACAACAGCAGCAGCAGCAATTGCTCATGGCCTATCCCCTAATGACCGAGCAACTGATTGCGCTCAACAATCAACAGAACTTGCTGCGCAACTCGCAGCAGCAGCAGCAAGGCGGAGCGGCAGCTGCAGCAGCAGTTGCTCCTGCTGCGCCGCCGCCCGCATATCAGCATCAGCATTTGCACACACAATCACATGCCTATGTAGAAGGAGAGTTTGAGTTTCTCAAATTTCTCACCTTCGACGATCTAAATCAGCGACTGAGCAATATTGATCACGAGATGGAGCTGGAAATCGAGCAGCTGAATAAAAAATATAATGCCAAACGACAGCCCATTGTGGATGCAATGAATGCGAAGCGCAAACGCCAGCAGAATATCAACAATAATCTAATTAAGATATAAAAAAGAGAAAACAATTTAAGCATACATATATACATGTATATATTCGTATGTATATATATCTATATATGTATGTATATGCTTAACAGCAAAAGGAATAGCAAACTCATTTTGAGCAGCAGCTGATATTGTAAGTGAAACGAGAACGTAAAAGCTTTATTGTAAAATGCACTGAGAAGCAGATATATCTATATATACTATATATATATTTATTAATATATAGACAAGATGAAAGAAAACAAATCACACTCGAAACATATTGTAAAATGCACTTTGTATCGTTTCATAATCGAATTGTGGCATATTATATTAATTTTTAATGTTTCTTTTAGTACTGCCCTGAAATCAAAAAGAAACCCCTTCTCAAAATGCTGCTCATTTCAAAACATAAGACTAAATTGGTGCGTTCAACCTTTGTTAACTAAACTTTATACTATTATTTAAACAAATTAACACATTGTGTTATTTTTTCTCTTAATTTAAGACACACACACAATTTTAGTGCATCACAAAAAGTTTTAACAAGCAACTGTCAAGCAATAAAACAAATAGTAAGAAAACGGATACAATTTTTATAATGCATATTTTTGGAAGAGATATATAGATATATATATATAGAAATCACACACATACACACTCACATACATACATATAAAGTATAAAATATATATAGTAACTAGTGTTTACCTATTAAATAATTTACACAAATATACATACGTATACATATAAATATATAAATTTATATGCAAGCACATATTTGATTTTAAACTAAAACCTAAAGGAAATAGAAAACCTGCTGCGAATTTCAATTGTCCAAGATATATATATTATATATATAACTGATAGTTTAGCATGTACATAGAATTATTCTCAGTTTTTTTTTCTGTTTTCTCAATAAAGTGATGAATAAATAAATAATAAAGTTTTCATTCTTCTCGTTGCCCTGTTATTCCGTTATATCCATTTGCTGTGCTGCCTGCTCCAAGTCCTGCAGCTGTGCACGCAAATCCTCCGGTAGGCTGTGCTCATTCAGCGCACTCGGATCCTCGCCATCGACAACAATCTCCTCTGGATCGGGTGCTCGCGGCAGAAAATCTTCATTCGCATAAAGCTGGCTGAAGATGTGACGCGCATTCTCTATGGCCGCATCATAATCCTGCTCATAGACGGGTCCAGCTGTGCAGTAAATGGGCGTGGCAGCGTTTGCAATACTCTCGGCTGCTGGAGCGGCTATAGTAAAGTAGGCACTGTAAAGGATCTGGCTGGCGTTCGGCTCAAAAAGCTGCCCCACAAAGTCAGCCAAATCTCCAGCTGGATTGGCGCTAATTGCGGGCGTCGTTAAGTGGAGTATATCTACAAAATGTAAGAGGGTTTCAAATTAATAAGAGTTTGCCTGAAGAGTAACTGCGACACCTACATAAACCCTCTGGACATGCGCCCGAATAGTGTGAGAGTTGTATCAGGCAAGCCTCCCGCTCTCCATTAGTCGTCAGCAAGCGCAAGAAATTGACGCCTCCACCTCCCTTATTTAGCTCTTCGCTGCCCAGGGGCTTGGAGGTGATGAACAAGCCTCTCGATAAACGCGGTTCGGAGTCTCCGAAGTGTGTGGCCAATGTGGCTGGCAGTTGAGAGGGAGCAGAAACTAAATGCTTTGCGCGCAATGTTTTCCCTGCGCTGCTGACAAGCAGCTCGCTTTCCGTCCAATTGATATCCTCCACGCTGCGCTTTAGGCAATAGATGCCGCCATAAACAGCGCACAGACGGCAGAAGCATTGCGGTAATTCGCCACAGCCGTACATGGGAAACAGAAAGGGTGTATTGCCATAGCGACCGAGGCTGCCAAGGAAACGCTGGGTACGCTCCATGCCCGTCTCGAAGCTGGTGCTGGCATCGCACATGGCAATCGCTTGCATCACACAGTTGGAGATCTTCTCCGTCACGCGCTGAGCCTGCAAATACTCCAGGAAGGTGCGTCCGCGAAA